ATACTTTTTCTGCCATAAAGCTATCCTTGTCCTTGAAAAAAATATTGCATATACAATGTACACTGTTTTGTAACCTCTTCTTCAATATTCATGAGCAATTAACTCATTCTCTACTTCTACTTGCCATTATGCTCCATAAACCTTTTAACAATCAATATACATAGTTCTCCAGTCATCTCTTGCATAAAAAATATACACTTGATTGCTCTTAAGTATTTGTTTTTGCAGAAATAGCTCATTTTTTATTCAAAGCTTCCTAGCTGGAGACAGCATTAAATGTCACTGTTTCTGTGGGACATACTTTCCCAGTTAATACTTACATATTAATTCTCACCACAAAGTTGAGAAAATGTCTGCTGCTTTGAAAAACAAATACATGAAAAAAATCAATACATTTATTGGCAATGACAGGTGCTTTCAGGCCATTCTTTCTTCTCTTCAGTTATATACAGTGAATCTTCTTTCAGATCTGAAAGGTTCTGTGAAAAACATCTTGATTTGTAAGAAACATTGAAATTGCTAGTGAAGTATATCAATGGACCATTGCATAGGTAGATCTAAGTGTTTTAAATTAAAAAAAAACCCACTTTAATAAGGATCTACTCTATCCATCAAAGTAAACATTAACCGTGCACATTGCCAAACATTTAAAACGGAAATCTCTGCACTAGTGTGATTGTGCTTTTATCTAGGCAGATTAGTTAATGTATTCTTACTTTATATCTTCATTGGCATCTGGCTGTTTGTACAGGTTTTATTCCATGTCAACAATGGAGCTGGCAGAATAACGGCTACGTACGAACCAAGAGGCACAAATAGCTTGTGCGATGGGAAATGGCACAAGCTTCAAGCAAACAAAAGCAAACATCGCATTGCGCTGATAATTGATGGGAATTTGGTTCACACTGATAATCCCTACATCCAGTCAACATCTGCAGATACAAACAATCCCATTTATGTTGGAGGTTATCCTGGTAGGTACAATAATATTTCCCTTCCCTTCTGTCCCTCCTGCACTCACTCCCACAAGAGAGACTCTTAACACGTGCTCCCTTTTGGTTTGCCATGGGAATTGTGACTGTGTACAGCTCAGCTGTTGCTTCATATTCTGCTAGTTTCTATTTTAACTTCAAAAACACCATGCAGAGTGGCTTTCTCCTCTGTTTTTCCCTCTCATCTTCCACTGTCCCCTGGCAAGAACTATTTCTGCAAACTCTGCCAAGTTATTGCCGTGCATGGCTTACGCTTGAAAAGAGCAGTGACCATCCTTGTTGTGATGTCACAGTTCATCCAGACACGAATGGAACTTGATGCTCCTCAGGTGATGGTTTTATCTGTCGCTTCAGAGGGGCAGAATTTTAATAAGGTGGATCATTGTGTTTTTTCAGTTTGGTGGAAATAGGTTTTACATATTTCATGCTTGTTTTTCAGCTGATGTCAAGCAAAACTGCCTCACAAGCAAGAGTTCATTCCATGGCTGTTTGAGGAACCTTGTTTTGACCAAGGGCCAACATACAGAATTGTTTGACTTTAGCAGAGCTTTTGACCTGCGTGGAGTGTTTCCTCATTCCTGCCCTGGGGCTGAGCACTGAACTGTAGCAAAGCCCAACTGGATTGAGAGAGGGTTTGTTGGGTTTTGTTTTGCTTTTTTTTCGTTTTTTCTATCTGTTATTTTGCATTCTCATTTTGTAATGAAAAGAAGAACTGATAAGAAACTGCCATCTATTTGATTTTTCTGGTAGTTTTCCAGCTCAGGTCATTTATTTTTTTTTAATCAGAAGCTCAATGTCTGCATTTTAACTAAATGGTTTTAAACAACAAATACCTCTACAACCATTTAAATGGCATTAATTGGATATTTTTATTTTGGAAATTTTTATTAATCAGTGTTTACAGTATGTTTTCTTTTGATTACTTGACAGTATTTCATTTTATTGTGTATTGGTGGTTTTGTAAGAAGGTAATAATTTTGGACCACATAATAAAACTACAATAAACTGCATTATTTCATGTAGTTCAGTTGTCCATGTATTTTAGTTAGAAGAAAAAGAGCTGGAAGTCTGAGAAGTTGCAAGAATGCCCACTACAGGGAGGTTGGAACTAGATAATCTTTAAGGCTTCTTCCAATCTGGGCCATTATATGACTCTGATTATATGAAATGTAAGTGGACATAGTCCAGCAGAGGGAGCAGCGGACTGACTAAATGCAAAATTTTGAAGGTCTCAGATTCAGAGTTTAATGAATAGAATTTTCTTAGTTACACTTCACAGGGTAGCTCCAGTTCCTTCTGCCTTACTATCCAGTGCTTCTGATGCTCATTATAGATACATTGGCTAGATGGATTTATGTTCCTGTTTATGCTTTCATGGAATCAGCTTCAGGATGAGCAGCTTCTCTATGGCACAGAGATGCCTGTGAAGTGATGTGTTGCTAAAGAAACAATTTGGGTCTTATTTGGGAAAAAAACTATGTATTTTGGCAATGCAAACTTATGCATCATTCTTTGGAAATCAGTGTTTCTTACGGACACTGGGAGGCAGTTTGGAGGCCAGCCTGCAGTTGTATCTTTGTCTTTTCTTACTGTGCCTGCCTCTATTTCTAAAATGAGACTTCCAGTATTTTTTTTTTCCTCTTTGAACTAGCAGTATTTTTGTTTGATCCTTCCAATTTTATTTGGCTTTTACTATGCATTTGTACAATTTGTTCTAAAGTTAGTTTCTCTCTATGTATTTTGTACTAGTTTAAAAAATACTGGCTGAAATGAAATTCCAAAGCAGTTTGCCATTACTTTCAATGAGGCAGGATTCCAAGCAGTGTGTTTTGTGCATTGCATAGAGGTAGTCCAAGTGAAGAGCTTCTGGAGCAAAGAGCTCCTCCACTTCAGCAAGGGTGGCAGACCATGGTCCTTTGTACAGCTGTTCAGGTGCTGTAACAACACAGTTGCTTTTAAAACAGATACACCACTGCTTTTCTGCCCCCTATCCAAAATACACATGTTTAGATTTGAAGAGCTAGCTTTGTTGTATTATTTTTATTTTTAACATGGATACAATACAGTGGACGCACTCTGCTGTACAAATACACTTACATGTTGGCATACTTCAACAAAACACATAACATAATGAGGATTGTAAGGGAAATGTACATACAAACACTTTGATTAGTGGCATTGTATTATTTTCCAGAGAAGACACACATGAGTAGAAACCCACTGAAAAATGAAAATGTATCACCGTGTGTTTGTATTCATTGTCTATTAACCCCAACATCTGATCTCACAAGGTTCACATTACAAGCATAATTTAGGCAACGTGATTTGGATAAAATTTCAACCATATCCCAAAACATGTATTTTACTAGATCTTTTTTTGTAATTTCAAATCTTGCCTCATACAAAAAGAAATACTTTGTTAGTGTTAATGTGAAATTGATAATAGATTAAGTAGTAAACGTCTAAGCCAAAATATTTTTCCTGGAAAATGCAGAGTGAGGTAGTTAATATTATACATGGACACAGACACATTTGCACACATGCACACTTTCTAATGACATTCGCCGCACATACAAGTTAAAGCATTCCAGTCTGTTTTGCAACACCTGCTTTTTACAATACTCTCTCTCTCTCTGTGTTGATATGCAAAATGCTGTCCTTGTAGAACCGTGGAGTATATAAATGCTTGAGGCATCTTTGGAATTTCAGTAAGTTTCTCCCTGCTTGTTACCATTTTCTTACTAATAGCTTTCCACATATGTTGTTAGGTGACAATCCTCTTGCAACTTAGTTTTGACTTCAGCTTCTATTAAAAGGAACAAAATTCCTCGTGCCTCCACCAGCATCTTGAATTATAAGACCTAAAGTTAAGACCTCATATTTCAAAATGCTATTGAGCTTTTTCCATATGTCTGCTGCATATTAAATCAAGTTAGTGTACCAAAACAATACAAAACAACTTAATGTGGAACAGTATTAAGCACTACAAATGGGTCATTAGGGCCATTTGTATCAAAAGAGAATTCTGACATTCTGTTTGAGAGACAGGAGGTATTTTGCCACTCTATGTAGAATCTAATTCATCTGCTAATATGCATGTCTTACAAAGTTATAGGCAGTTTAGCATAAAACAAGAGCTCACAGGATGTATTTTATTACATTATATTTGACTTCCTTAATTTCTGAAGTGGTAAAAGTCTTCCAAACCCCCCTTGTATTCCATACAGAATGCAGGGAGATCTATTTCAGAAATAACATTGATGAGGTCCAGAACATGCTGAGCGAGTTGCAGCATGAACACAGGGCTGTTCTGTCCTTTCCCTTGCACAGCCATTGAGAACACTGAGTGAAGTGAGTGGGCAAGGTAGAGGAGGTCAATGTATTTGTCTGAAGGTACTGTATGAAGTTAGCTCGTTTGCTATGATATTTCAAATTATTTCCTTAATGTTTAGCCTATCTGTATAGTCACAGAATGCCTTTTAGTTGGCTATAGATACAATGATGCTTAGCATTTATATGATTCTCTTTGTATTCAAAGCACTTTCCACATAAAAAAATCTTTGCTGAGTTTGTCCTTCCCAGATGGATGTTTATAACTCCTGATCTGCTTAGGGAATTGTTTGGCTACATCTGAGAGTAGAATTTAACTCAACTAATTCTTATGTTGCCTTTATATGGAAAGTACTAGTCCTGCTTTGCAGCTGACAAGACAAGGGCAGCATAAGCAGAAAGAGCTGTCCACAGCCACAGAGGGAACTAAAGGGTATGGGGAGCAAAGCACACGACAAAACGTTTATGCTTAGTCCTATAAACAAGCCACAGATCTACTGTCTCTTGTATACCTAAAATAAATAGCTGTCAAAATAAGGAGTGTATTTTATAATACAACTGTCCTGTTTTTTTCCTGGCTGCAACTATGTCTCCCTTAGTGTTAAGAAGAAAAAGGAAAAAGAAAACCAAAATTAAAAAAAACTAACAAAAAACAACCAAACAAACAAGAACCAAACAAAAAAACAAACAAAAAGCCAAAACAACCAGAAAGTTAAAAATGTCACTGTTTGCTAATGTTGCTAATTTTTTTATCAAGAAGATAAGAAAGAAGACAGGGTCTGCCCTCTGTAGATGTTATTGCTGCTGGTAAAATTACTGATTCAATGTTGTTTTCTTTCACTGACCACTAACAATGAAAGTTAACTACTGGAGAACACAATTAACTCAACACATTTTAGAGGCTCTCCTTCTGGTTCAGATCCTCATTGCACAGTTTCAGCAAAGCATCACGAGTTACAGACTTTCTCCAGAGGATAGCGGACTTTATGTTCACCTGGAGGACTTGGTTCAGAGTGCTTTTAAATTGCTATGTAATAAACAGAGCTTCTGCCTCATCCCTATGTCCAGATCAGGAACAAAAACTATTGCTCAGGCTAGGGGTGGTTTCACTGCACAACATCATCATCTAATGATGGGGACATGGCAGTGCAGTTGAAGGCATTGGTTCCCACTTACTGCATATGAGAGATGAAAAAAATACTTGCTCTTTTCCAGAGATTTGTGATTTCCCTACTTAACAAACCTCTTTTAGTTCATCATAGACCAAAGTGAGATGACTGAGTGAAGAGCACTGCTTGCTCTTGTGACTAGCTCTAAATCAGAAATCCTGACATTCCCAATGCAGCTGCAGCCCACTGTTCTCGTCAGTCAGTGTGTTTGCTTAGACTGCATGCCAGCGGCAATTTGCTGTGTATTTGTAAAACCCCCAGCACAACTGGGCCTGGATTGGCTACGGTTTTAAAGACCTAATGTGTAAATTATTAAATCCCTTTTCTCATTGGAAGCCCTGTTTCTTCTCCATGCTGTATTATACAAGTCCTGAACAAAGATCTCTCTTGTTGATGCTGCTGAAGAATATAAAAATTGCTTACATATTAAAGCTAAAATAAACAAAATAAAAATAATTAGGTTACAAATTAGAAACTATAATGTTTAACAAAAAAGGTGAGGACTGTAAGCGGCACCATTAACACATCTCACAGTCTGTCATTCCACAGATTTTATTCTGAGAGTATCAAGTAAAAGGCAGAGCGAGGGGCATATGCCCCTTCTCACCTAAGCCTTTGTCTCCTGAAACTAGTGTGAGAGGGAAAGGGAAGGAAGTGTGGTTTCTGGCATTACAATTGCACACAGCTGAGGGATCCAGAGGGATGATTTTGGAAGACTGGTAGTGAGCTATAGAGTGGTACATAAATTGAGCAGTACAGCTGTCTATAGTTCCTCCTCCTGTCTCCCACCCCCAGTATCAGGTACTCATGGGGAGTGACTGAGAGACACCAGTATTGCAGTAACACACACTGTATGGATTTACTTTCAGGAGAAAGGTTTGGGTTTCACACAGCTGTCTTGGCACTACTGCATGTTGAGTTTCCACCTTCCATGCCTGACAGACACCTTCCCTTCTCCAATGTCTCTGTCATGCTTCTGTGTTATGCTGTGGTCAGTAGTGGTTCATTCATCTGATGCCACTGCATTATTTCCAAAAATTGTTCTAACACCAGGTCAGGAAACGAACACCGTACCTTGGTCTGCCCTCCTCACCTCCTGGGCCAGTGGCACAAGTGTAATCCATATGAAAGCATAACTAATGTGATATTTTTCCGATGGTTTGGAAACTGGAATACCAAAAGTACTATGTGCTGACCATCAGTTGGACAGTACAGTAGGAAGGAATGATATCCTGTAGCTACCATTTTGTTGTGTCTCTGCAAGAGCTGCTTAAAATGACAGGCATCACTCTTGTCCGTTTGGCTTTTTGTCCAGTATACTGCTGCCTTCTGCTTCAGCTGGCTTTTGGTTTTATCACCCATTCTGCCTGAGGATTTGCACGGTAGACATCTAGCATGAACGCATCTGGATCCAAACAGTGCTGACCTGAAAAGGAGATTGTCAGCCATGAGTCATAGGATGTTCTGAGCACACAGGGACAGAGCTGTGTTAAAATGTCCTTGGAATGTTTCTCTGACTTGCATACAGCAAGCCTAGTTTGGTGTGTCCATCCAGCTAACACCTTGCCTGGATACAGAGAGGGCCTTTGGTAAATTTGCCAGCGATTTTACCCTGTGACAGTCATGAATTCACTGTCACTTCCAGGCAGGATGTCTGAGTAATGGACAAGACATTTAGTCAAACAGTGAATATGGTCTCTTTAGAAGCATCAACAACACTGTTAGAGTAAGTGCTACAGCATAGGGGGCTTTATTTCTTTGGATTTACTGAACTGGAATTACAACTCTCTGACTCCTATGCTATTTTTAAATGCTGAAAAAGTATCTCTGTAAACAATGTGTTCCCATACAGTAGGATCCTGCAAAGAAATGCTGAAACTCTAACAAGGTTTTTGGGAGTTGCCAATTTGCTGGTTAAAAAAAAAAAAAAAAAAAAAAATCCTCTGCACTCTGGCTGTTTCATTAGCTGCTGATTGGGAAGTTGTGGCTGCCTTTGCCAGAATGAGGATTTTGTGCCTCTTAGTTGAGTAATAAGGCAATAAATTCTAGAGTTAAATTGATTTGTTGGACTATATTGCATTTACATGGGGTAATGAAGTAATTTCACTGGTGAGGTTACTTTGGTGTGACACAAGATGATGGTAAAATTTTTGTACGGTTACTTATAAGGTCACTGGGGTTCTAATGATTTTATTCAAGTGAAAGCAATATAAATGAATTAATGCATAATCAGTGGACTAAGGTACCCTGAAGGATCTAGGACTATAAAAATTATTTTAAATGAAGATGCAAATTAAATGTCCTGATTTTTTGGAAGACCATGATAAGAATATTTTGGATTGTTTCACAAGGCTTTTAGGATCTTTTTTCTGTTTAAGCATCAACTGGTCATCTTGTCTGGACAGGCAAAGCAAATCACTAGTCCAATTTAATTTTATTTAATCATCAGCAATAAAGACTGATTCTGGATTGCTGCTGAAGTAAGTCTGTGATGTTTTGTAATAACTTTACAGAACTCTGTAGAGCTGAATCTAGAAGAAACAAGGAATAATTTAATCAGATAATTCACAACTGACTCCAAGAGACCATCTGGAATTTTGGTATGAACATGGAAAGGAGAGAGCCAGGATTGTGTAATATCAAATTAAAATATATTTTTTGACCTTTAGGACAGAAACTTGTGGGTTAAGCCATTGTTTTTGTTATATGAAGTGTCACTGCATGAAACAGAAGACAAAATCCCTATTGCAAGGAATCTGCAATCCAAATAAAGGTGGGGTTTTATTTCGGGAGGTCAACGCTTACACACATACAGAAAGAAAGAGGTCTTGGGAAAAGGCTTGACAGTGAGGTGGAATGTGCTTGCAAGAGGAAGACTGAGGATCTCTTACTCATGGAATGCTTGGTTACAGAAGTGAGAGAGGTAAGCAAAAGGTCAGATGAATTTGGCAAGACTGTAAAAAGTGCTGCTGAGATCCAGCCACTGGGTTCATTCTCTCCTGTGGGGTCCCCCTCCTGTCACTCTGGAGTTGGAATAAATAATGACATTGATTCTAACAGCTTTTGTGTCCGGCTCCTTTCCTCAAATGGACTGGAGAACAGGAGAGACCCAGCTGTGTCAAAACAGTGCTGCCCTGAGGTGTTTTAAGAGGTTAAGGACATTTAGAATTAATTTTCAAAATTGAGACCTACCTATATTTCCTCCAATTTCATGTAAACTTTGGATCTGGCCTCTCACATTCTGTGATGATCCACGGCTAGGATGGGAAAAAAAACCTTTCAGTTTGTGTTTTTGTTATAACCACTGCTTTATCACCCATCATCTATAGTAAGCTAAAGTTTGACATTTTTCCCCCTTTGATCTGTCGTATCGAAACCAACAACTTCTGCCGAATGGACCAATGCAGAATAAAGAATCTGCTACAGAGGTAGGTTACTGCATCACAGTCAACTAAACCTTCTATATTATTTATTTTATATTATTTATTCAAAGAACAGATTTATGTGGTAACATGGGAAGACTTTGCAGAAAAGACTTTCAGACACAATTTACCATTTCCCATAACTGTTAATGATTATTACCTTACAGAAATAAAAACATTCTAGACTTATGGATAGATGTGGAACAATCCCTTTGAGTTCTCTATGTGGCAAAATATGAAATAATATAAAATATATATATAAAATATAAACCAAAATATATAATTATATATTATTATATAAAATATATATAAATATATATTTAATGTACATTTTTAATAGTGATGTAAGGGAGGGCAGATTGATAGATTGATTCTGTATAGGAGCCAATTACTAAGTAAAATAGAAAGACTAAGATAAGTGGTTAAAATTTCTTTGACCAACATAACCATAAATTTGAACTTTTAGATTAGAAAAAGAGTTCTTGTAAACCTATGAATTTCTGAAGAGGGAACAATCTATTCATTTACAGTTCTGACATTGTTGTTCAGGAAAAACAAAATGTTCTACTTTACCCACCTGTTTTCACAGTGGAATCGAGCCAGGATGTCTTTGGCTTTTGTTTGGCTGTTGAGTTGAATTGCCATAGAGACTTTTGAATGCAGTGGAGCATAAACTCTTATCACCCCCTCGGGTATGTCAGACTGCAAGTATGGAGGAAAAGTGACAGCTCCCTAAAATCAATATTCAATAGAGTAAGTCTAAGACAAATAACTGCTCTAGCTCAATTCAGAAGCAGATCTGCAACCTCATTTGAAGTTGCTTGCAAAACTCACTGTCCTGCATTCACCTGGCTCTTCAAAAGACATTTACAGTCATACAGATGCAAATCTGTAGACACAAATCAAATACAACACAAAGGCACAAAGTCTTTGGTAAGTAGCACATAAATGCACACAGGGTAAAGCCCTTGAATTGTAACTTCAACTTCTGTTAACATTAGTCAGTGGACCAACTGCTTATTTGAAAACATAAAAATTATTAAAATTATTTAGAATATCTGTTCTTTCTTCTAAAGATGAAATTCTCCTGAGGCATAAAGATCCAGTTCTCTGTTTCTGCTTCCTGTATCTTCAACTAGATTCAAGTGTGTGTACAGTAAAACATCAAGTACCATATGGTTTCTGTTAATTTGAAATTTGACCTTGTGTAGGGTTCAAATGATCATCTATGAAGTTTATGCACTCTTCCATGATTAATGGTGGATAAATCAATTAGCAAGGTTTGCATTCCAGCTCAAATCCAGTTAATACCATGCTGACCAGAACACAATAGTCTCTCCAGTCTCTGTCTCTGTGTAATTTAGAACATCTGAGACCTGGGGATTGCTTTAAGTGCTCTCAACATTAAACTCAGTTATCCAAACAGAATTTGCCTCCAATTTACCCCTCATATTTCAGCTCCTTGCCATGGCTACCCTCATTTTTATTAGATGTAAAGCAAATTACTCCGATCAATGGACTTGTCTTCCCAAAGGTGCAATGACTTCAGTAACTGACTCTCCTCAGAGAAGGAGTCTATCTGTGTTCATCCCAGGCTGAATTTAACTTTGCATCACAGTAGTCTACACTGCCATTTTAAACCAACATCTATGTCTCTATCTGCAGCACCAATGTATGTCCAACCCTACCGAAAACACTTCAGTCAGTGCTGGCAAATTCTTGAGAAAGGTGAATTAGAATGGATTCACCACTCATAAATAACATTTTTCTTTCTACTTTTTCCACCATACATTACCTTCTGCATTTTCTCTCTTGTCTGTACTAGGTTGCTCATTCTCTATTTCTCATAACCTTGTGTACCATTCCTTCCTAATTTGGCTTTTCTTTTGTTATTCCAAACTATTCTTCAACAACTACAGAGTCCTTTACCGTTTCCTTGATTACTTTTACAATTCACCAGTCTTAATTCTTTTAAACATTCATGGAAGACTCTAAATACTCCAGGTTATTAAAGGTAGTTAATACATGGAAATGCATGTAAGTTGCCTTAGGGACTGTGGATGTTGTGCATAGAGACACAACATGTCTTTTTGCCCAAACTGTGTGTTGCACCCAATATGTAAAATAATTTTACTTGTCTATCAAAGCAGCGTGCTCCAAGTAAATCTAATCATAATGTCTGTTTCTAGGCATTAGATAAAATTTGGTGGCTTTAAGACCTTCAAAGAAAGGTTTTTCTGTCAGATTTTCTTAAATCAAAACTGCTTCTGGAGCCTCGGAAATCCTCCAAATTATCTACCTGACTATACAGAGAATAACAGCACAATCTACTTCACTATGCACTTAACATTTAGACACAGTTTAGGTGTTTATGGTAGGCAAACTGAATTTTCTCTGCTTACAAAGCTAGTGCAAAGCTCCAAGACTAAAGCTGGCGAGGAGAATATCAAGTGGCCTGTACCAGGACATGGATAAATGCAATTAATCCTAATATAGATCATCCTACTACTCAGCTACAGACCCATGCATTTGTTGAGTATCTACAAATCACTGCTGTCAGGGACAGTCCACACATAACCATTTCTTATGAAACAGGTTAAAAACCAGCTTGGCAGCTTTGGCTGCTGGAAATCATTCTGCCTTCCTTACCTTTTCTCAATCTATTCCCAAAACTTTGTCTTATCAGAGTGTTGGACTGGGAAGCACACCTTTCAAGATAACTCTCAAATCATCTTATTTTGTATGGCAAAATTTCCTCCCCACACCCAGAATCTTTAATGAGATAAAGGAGGGAGTCTGTTTAAAAGTTGCCCTTAAAACCTGCTTTTTGTCACACCTCTGGTCTTTCAGGTCTCTCCCGTTCCATGGTCTTTCTCCTCAGAAGTTTTCTCACTCCTTTGTCAAACATCAACTGTCTCTTGCTGTTGTTCATTGCTGCCTCGTTCATTTTTCTCACTTGGGAAATAAGGAAGTATGGGACCTAGAGGGAGGAAACCAGATCTTAGAATATACAGTAATTTTCCCCCAATGTGTCAGGTCTTCAGAAGGGCACCAAATTTTAGGCAGCAGAAACTCTGTTTATTCCTAGAAGATACATGCAATCAGTAGCTTCCTCTAACAATCTACAGTTTTCCTTTGATGAAACTGAAGATCATCTTTCATGCCATATGAAACTTTAAAGCGATGTTTGCAGCTGCAGGAACTTTATTAGGAGATAGTTTTTATTATACCCCATTATACCCTTCCTCTGCCATGAGAAAACGAGCTGAGACTGTCAATATCTTCAGGCCAACCTTAGAAGCCCAAAAAGCTGTACACACTTTTGTCCTGTTTTATTGTGGGCTAGACTTTAAGCAGACATCTAATCACATTCAAGTTTAGACATATTACCTATACATCCAGATTAAATCATTCTTCTGTGCATCACTGTATAAACAATGGTGTGGGAGAGGTACTTCCAGAAGGCAATTGATGCTAAAATAGATGTCTTAGATAAGCAAGGTAATTAAGAAATATCTGTTAGGGTACTTCATTCTAGATATGGAAGACTCCAGTCAGTTTCTAAAGAAACTGTTTCTATGTGGAAGGTCAGTTTATTCTGATTTCTGCACATGTCCTGCATATAGCAAAATTACTGCAGTGTAATGGAACCATAAAGGCAGAACCAGCACTACTCACTGTCCACAGGATGTCCTGGTACCGGATTAAAAGCCTCACAATGTGCGCGGTGGTGGCGGCTGCTTGCATTTCTTGTTGGTTTGCACGCTTCCCTTTGTAGATGAAGAGGTTTGGTGCAACAATCATAGACACGTTCCACAAACTCATCTTGTTTTTCCCTTCATTAGCAACCACCTTCTTCAGGAACTGAAGAAAGGCCTGGAAAAGAACAGTACTTGTTTAATTTCAGGAAATATTTTACTTTTGAAATGAAGCATTTTCAAATGCACATGTCTGGCTGTTATATTCGCACTTGGAGGTGAAATTTAGTGGTTTTCTCATTGTATTTTGATTACTTTGACACTTGTTGTTACAACAACCTATGTCAACCACAGAAGAATAGTTAATGTTATCAAAATACACATTAATAAGTTATCTATCACTTAGAGCATAATCCTAAATTTATAAGGCAAATACAGTGTCTACACTATGGCTCTGAATCCTACAGTAGAGGTAAAATGTACACGCATTGCAAGGCAATAGTTAACTTTCTTCACAGATTACCAAATTTCCATTTTAATGTATCTGGCCAATGCTTTTTATATCACAGTCACTCAGGGAAATTAGTCTCTCTTCAAATCTGCACCAGTCCTACGTGTAATACAACCTGAAATTTCTGCCAGCAACCCCAAAACTTTTATTCTGGGATAACAAAAGCAGAAGAGTGGTTGTTCATTGATGTTACTTCTGCACATGCTTGTCAGAGTCAAAGGAAATCAATTTCCCCTTTTGGGTAGTTCATTCAGAATTTTGCTTGAATGTTTAAATAGCACAGTCTGTAGCTATGGTTAGAGTTGGGGTCTACCAATGAGTCCTGCAATATTGCTCTGGTTTCAGCTGGGATGGAGTTAATTTTCTTCCTTGTATCTGGTACAGGGCTGTGTTTTGCCTTTAGGATAAGAATAATGTTGATAGCACACTGGTGTTTTAGTTGTTGCTAAGCAGTGTTTACACTTAGTCAAGTGTAATCTTTAGCTTCTCATGCTGCCCTGCCAGCAAGGGGGCTGGGGCTGCACAAGGCTTGGGAGGGAACACAGCCTGGAGAGCTGACTCCCAAGGGATATTCCATACTATATGACATTGTGCTCGGTATCTAAACTGTGGGGAAAGCTGGTCTTGGCCCACTGCTCAAGAACTGGCTGGGCACCAGTCACTGAGTGGTGGAAAATTGCATTGTGCATCACTTGTTTTGTGTGTTCTAATTAATTAATCAATAATTATTGTTTTCCCATTCATTTCTGTCCTATTAAATTGTTATTGTCTCAACCCACAAATTTTACTTTTTTTTTCAAATTTTCTCACCCATCCCATTGGGGGATGGGGAGGAGTGAAGGAATGGCTGTGTGGTGGTGTGACGGCTTTAGATGGGGTAGAGTTAGTTTTCTTCATACTGACTGATTTGGGATTATGTTTAGGACTTGTGCTGAACACAGTGTTTGTAATACAGATTTATTTTTTTTTCTTATTTCTGAGCAGGACTTGCTGCCTTTTCTGCTTTTCATGTTGCCACACTGCTGAGGTGCATGAGAAATCAGGAGGAAACACAGCCAGGACAGGTGACCAAAGGGCTATTCCAGACCATGTGACATCAGGCTCAGTATAAAAAGGTGGGAAGAAGATGAAGGAAGGGGGGACTTTTGGAGTGATGCCATTTGTCTTCCCAAGTAGCTTGTTACATATGATGAAGGCCTGCTCCCCTGGTGATGGCTGAACACCTGCCTGCCCATGGGAAACGGTGAGGTCCCTTTTTTGCTCCACTTTCATGAAACAACTTTTGTTTTTCTATTAAACTGCATTTATCTCAACTCACGAATTTTCCAGCTTTTACCCTTCTTATTCTCTCCCTGATCTCACTGATGGGGGAATGAGCAAGAAGCTGCATGAGCTTGGTTGCTGGCTAGAGTTAAACTATGACAGGTATTAGCTGCCTCTCAGTTAAACCACAAAAACCATACCACTAAAACCACTGTCTTTGTACCCTGACATAGCAATTAAGATATTTTTACATACCCAAGAATTACAAAATAGAAACTGTGTTGGAGAAGTTAGAGAGTGGAGCTGTGTAGGGAGTTTTGTCATCACTCCTATTTTTGTACAGAAGCCTAATTAATAATAAAGTAGTATTTAGCATGTGTTTCACATATGCAGCTCTATACCCAAATGAACTTTGGTAGCAGAAACAACCCCAATTCTTTACAGAACACTAGTAGACCTCCAGGTGCTTTGAAGACAGTTGCTGTTCTTATCCCTTGTACATACAATTTTATACATAAATACAGGTAAAGAAGGCACCTGAACTCATAAAGTTGTATCTAACCTGACTAGTGAAAGGCTTTCAGAGGCAGGAGACCTGCATGGTCCTGATAGCAGGGGACCTGATTAAATGTCTAGAGGTTCCCAGAAAGCTTGTTCACTCAGGTCTCCTTGATGTAGAAACAGGCCCAAAGATGCAACCACTGTCTCCTACAGTCAGGATATAGCTGCAGTCAGATCTGGGAGCTCCCAGGCATCCAAAATGCTTGTAGCCACTGTGTTTTTTATTAAGAAGTAGTACATAGGGGTGGGCATGGGTTTGTAAGGCAAGCTAGCTGAGGGTGAGGTCCTGAAATCTGTACTGAAGATGCACGTTTTCACTTTGGACTACATCCTGCAGTCTGGTCCAATGCCCTGGGAACACTCCCAGTACCAGGAACACACTAGGCAAGCTCCTACAGGGCAGCTTCTCTTTTAAATTAATCCTGGAGAATTTCAGTTATACAGAAAATCCAGAAACTGGACCTGTTTTGTCCAAACTAAGTGAGGAACATGCCTCTTTGAAATGAGCAGTAATGAAATGAAATGTTTATTAGAAATGAAATTAGAAATTAATAGTAATGATGCCTGAGATCTAGCAGTTGGATACCCCCAACAACTACTTCTTTATTGCTTGTAAAAGAAATGACAGCCAGGAAATTTGAACACCTTTTCAAGGAAATAATAAAAAACACAGATGAGTACTTTCCTGGTGTAGCATCTGAAAAAAATGAGTCTCTCATTTAAAAGTCAAAAGCACCACAGATGGCGGGTGATAGCAAATGAAGAACTTACCTTGGCTGTGTCTCTGTTGGCTTCAGGCATCAGCATGATCAACAGATGCAAAGCTTGTAGTTGTAACTTGATCTTGGAGATTTCTGAGGACATGAATAATTAATGCTTTTGAAATCCCCACTGCAATTGGTTTGTTTTAAAAACCTTGTGTCAGCAGTGTAGAAATACCAGCTTGTGCCTGGTTGAGACTAGCATGCTTAGGTGTTGATTAACCATACACTTTTCCCCAAATATAAAATCACCTTAATGAGTGGGTTTTTCCTCATCATCTTGGATCTTTGTCACATGGGGACAGCAAGGCACTACAAAATTCTATCTACATAGTAACAATCCGGTATTTTTTAGTAATAGCTAGTTACTCTTAGATATCTGTGTATTTGTTGTAGGGAATAATGTCACTTTATTCTGCACAGACAGTCTTCTCCAAACTGCTGAGCCATTGTAACTGCATGCAGACTGGGAGTCACGAGGAGCAGACCCAGGTATGTAAAGTTTATGGGAAGAGGTCACCTCCTTTTGCCCTTTAAACTACTCATGGAGACACTGAAAGCATGACTGCAACTTTATGTAAAGATCCCCAGTTTTCTGCACCAATTTCCTAATATATTAACCATCCTGAGACTTTCAATCTGTCCTAGCTTGAGTGTTTTACAGTGAAGTCATAGGCATGACAAGGTACAATTGCATTCTTCCTGGAAGAGAAATGAACAAAATGTACTGAGATTGAGAGGGTGTATGTACACTGAAAACAAAGGCCAGCTGCCTGAACCTTTTTGTGCTCATACATATCCCTGTATCAATGGTCTGACCTCAACATAAACTTTACCAGAAATAAAATAGGTCCAGTAGGTCCAGTAGATAAAGGACAGTCATTTGAGTTTACCTTGCAGAAATTTTCGTTTGTGAAACCTATAATTAAGGTGAATCAGAGTCTATATATGAAAGTCATTACTCAATCACTGTTTCAATTTTTACACTAAACAGTTGTTTTTTTCACACAACAAGCCTGTGCTAATAGCTGAATGCAGACACCTTTCTCATTTTGAAAACAAAATCTTGCAGAAAATCAAAATGTTTAGGCAAAGCACTGGGTCTGTTTTTCTCTCTGCTACAGAGGAAAAAATAAAATTACATGACTTTTCTCTATATACTTCAGAGAGAGAAAAAATGTAATGTCTACTCTTGCATTTTATCATATTATCAGTCCATATCCACATACTTTCTACAAGTGTGATGAATGCAGGCAGATATTCTACTGTGAAGAGTGGGCTTGGGAGTTCTCTAATAAACATTTTCAGCAGTCCCGCTGCATCATTATTTCGTACTTGGTCCCAGTCAAAAGTATCTTCATAAAATTTTGCCTCAAGTTCTTGATGGAGATTCTGAAAGATAAAAGAAACATTTGGCCTTGAATCACTGCTGCTGATCCAGCAGTTTGTGATTACTTCAGAAATCCCACTACAAGCAGCAGGCAGGTTTGTACAGGGCTTGAATTAAAGCAGCCCTAAACCAGTGACAGCCTAGGTACAGCCATGTGGAGTTCAGAGCAGGTAAACAAATCAAGTTCCTACAGATATTTGGCAACCCAGGCTAAGTTTGGTTTGCTACAGCTAGATTTCTGCCAGTGAACAATTTGAACTACCTTAAAGCAAGGCAATTTTCTGCAATGTCTTAGGACTAGAAGCAGAAAACTTAGTTAGCACAGCTGTTCTTTTGTTTCAAACACTCTCCAGAGGTTTTGACCCTTAAGTCACAAAGGAGTAGTGTTTCTTCTTCACTGCCAGTGAACTTGCTAGATGGTCTGAATCCATGCATCTTGAGCAAATGGCTTAAAATTCAGGTCTTCCCATCTTTGAAAGGAAGTTTTATGTTAGAATAATTATAGTTAGATTTGGTCAAATTGTAGAAAAATAAAGATACAAAACCATTACTGTCAGAAAAACCTTAATGCATAAAAAGACCCTCAAACCTCTGAAAGCACAGGAGAGATTTAAGATAGAAATGATGATGATACCATTTTGGGTTTTCCTTTAATCCCCTCGTTCTCCAGTGGCAGCATCCTGCTCCATAACAGAGGTCATTTTAGTTCTGGAGGGTCACTAGCCAGTGTTCAAAACAGGCATGTGAAAGGGAAATACTCAGCAAGGTTCCTAGTAGGAACAGGATTTGGCTTCAGACGCAGATCACTGATCGAGAAATGCAAGCTCCTCAAAAAATTGAATTAAAAGGATTGAAGGACAATATTTTAATATAAAGATATCTATAAATAATGCAGCTTTTACAATTATTACTGGCCAAACACTGTCCTATCCATAGGAAGTTCATTGCTGCTTTTTATGAGACCATTTATGACAAAATATATACACAGCAGATATTTGGTTTTATATCATGATTTTGTCAGATATACTTTAATATTATGCAAAAAGTTCAGTCCATTCAGGCAGAAAAACTTAAAAAAATTAATTCTGTTTGCCACACCTCACATGAATGGAAGGAAATTACATATCAAGTACAGTCACACATAAAGAAGTAGAATGGTTGCACAAACGGAAGTAGTAAGTTGTTCAGGATTTGGCATGAAATGTTAAAGTCTCATTTTTACTAGCACATTTTACTGGTTTTAATCTGGGCTATCTCAGCTTCCTCTGTATTCACATCCTTTGCACATAATTGATAAACACACCTAGATTGAATTTTCTCCTGTAACTGGCTGGAAATGTGGAACAGAAATCCTCACCTCATCAAAAGCACAAGAGGACAGAATTCTAGTCCACATTTTTCTGATGAGAACTGGGAAAAAGCCACAAAAATAGAAAGCAAGATTTTTGAAACACAAACACTTTTCTGACATACATACATACATATATATACATACATACATACATACATATATATATACACACACATATATATGTATATTTATCACTCCATAAAGGTAAGCATATATTTTATACACTCAATTCCCTCCCTCCCCTTCCTCATATACATGTACCTATGTATGCATCTAATACTTTTAAAATACGTGCTGCAATTTTTTTTTTACGTGACTGATCCTTTACTAGACCATCATACATTTTTGGTTCACTGGAGCTTTTGTTACAGAGGAAAACTTGTATTAATTTCTTCTATTCATTGTTTTATAGAAGAGTAACCTTTAATCATTTCCATATGCCTTTTCTTTCTCCAAACAAGACTGAAATAAAGTTGGAATGCCCTCGAGTCCTAATGCCATAATAATGTATGAAAGCTTTTGAAGGATGAAATCTGGATCTGCTTTGAAAAAAAATCTCTCTCTTGCTTGTTGGTTTGTTAAGCAGACTCAAATGAAACCAAAACTCAAATAATTTAAAACTTTCATATGGGCAGTTTAACTTACCACCTAGTATAGAGGAATTGAATATGAAGTCATATCTCACAGCAGCTCCCAGGATACAGATTGTGAAAAAGACATGAGCAAGACACACTACAGTGTATGCAAAGAATATGAAAATAATTTAATTAGATCAGAACCCTGCTATGTAATCTCCATGGAAAGGCTGGAAAAATTTGAGATTGTGTGAAATAACATTCAAGGATTTGTACGAAAAAACGAGGAAGCTGTAAAGTACAGGGCAAGTTAGGAGTTGCCTTCTGCCAGATGTGGCACTTTTCAAGGCTCTAGGTACTTTTATCAATGCAGAATCAAAGGAGTTGGGATGCAGCTGCCTATCTTTGGTGTGTCTAATGTAATGCTACTTTTTCTTATTCAGCCATTTCTTATGATCCTCAGCCCACCCAATTGTTTAGCAATCCCCAACATTTGTGTGGCTGCAACAGTGCTGAGACTTCCTGCCTCAGAACACAAAACTAGCTTCTTTGAGGAAAAAAACGTGAGAGTAGGACGCACTATAAGCTGTTGCATAAACCAGATCGAAAAAAGCCTAAGGAAAGAAAAAAAAAAAAAAAGCAAAAATCTGGGAAAGAGATAGACCTTACTAAGCCCAGAAAAAAAATCAACCAAACATAAAACTGTCTTGTTTTTCTAATTTGCCTCCTCCAGCTCCTGGAATGAAGTTGGTCTGGAGAAACAATTGCAAATATTATTGGCCCACAGTGTCAGGTTATTGGGTGCCAATTATACTGTGTTCATAGCCCACAAATAGCCTGCGAAAATGCAGTACTTCAGGCTGCCAACAGTGAACAGAGGCCAAATTTCTCTCACTTGGAACATGAAATTGCAAGATCACAGACGATAAATGAAAAATAAAATGACACAGAGGTTAAAATGACATAGAATAAGATCTTTATCTGATGTTCACTCAGTTTAGGAACTCTGCATTTCTGAAATAAATTAAAACAGAGATAAGATCACAGCAATTTTGGATGACAAGAGATAAACAGAATGGATGTCTCAAAGTTTCGTGGAGAAAAATCACATTCAACATCAAGTTTGTGCTTTATATAGAACATTAACTAAAGCAAAGTAATAGACCAAATGGTCTGTGATTTATTGGTTCCCAGGAACTAATTTGACCTTTCACTGGCAAGAGTAGGAATGCTGAGCTACACAGATCAGTATTTATGTGCAGTCTGAATTTGTGTGTATGTTATATTATTTTACATAGAGTCTGTGGTCCACAAGATGGAAAACTGGCTTGGGTGTATACCTTGACTCTGGAGGCAGATCCAGGAACCCGTAGAATTCCTTCAGTTTCCAAACCTGTTTCCTCAAGCTTGAGCAGCAGCTAAAAGAAGAGACAAAAAAACCCAGGAAAATACTCAGAAGCGCTTAATCATTCTCCTGACTTCCTTTTCTGTCTAGGTATCCTTGAAACTAATCTGAAAAAGATACATTTCTATGGAACTAGCTAATGAAATCCAGCCAGCTCATGAAAACAAATCTGCCTAATTTGTCTCCATAGTCCTGATTCTGAAGTAAGGAGTATGCAGAGTACAGAAAACTGCTAATGCAATAGGTTCCTCTGTCCTTGACTTGAGAGTTGGCACTGCTATAGAACAATTAACACGTACATGTATTAATGAAACAGCAGATATACTTAAACACAATGGTGTTTTGAAGGAAAAATAACCTCTGAGAAATGTTTAACTGTGCCCCAAGGAGCACAATAGAAAGGTCTATAGATAACATAAGTTTTTTGGAACTGAGAACTCAGATTAGAAAATCATCCCTGGATATTTTATTTTGAAAATTCTGTGAATAGAAGACTAAACATTCCACTCCAATTGGTTATTAAAAAAAAAATAAAATAAAAAGTAGTTTTGATTTTACATAATTTTGAACATTGAGGAAATTAAAAAAATTCCCAGCATTTAATCATACAGCTCTGGATTTTCATCACCAGATCTGCTTCCTGCCCTAACCTTGATTCTTCTAATTTCCAATGTTATCTTGATAAGGCAGCAGTGAAGCTAACTGAAAAGTCATGTAAATGCCCAAGTTGTGTCAGTTTTTCCCCTGTAATTCCCCAACACTTCTCCTTTTTTCAGTATTTACAGGGAAATCTGTTGCCATTTTGAGTCTGTGTAAATCTGTGCAATTGCACACGTACTTGTGTCTGTGAACCCGCCTCCAAGACATCCACAGGGTGTCCCTGTATGGCCAAATGTCTCATTTAAATACCTCTGTCTTGTTGTACAAACCTCAGTGAGAAGATACCACTTCCATTCTGGAAACAGTAGCTAAGTAATATCAATGGTTTGAATTAATGTGAAATTAAAACTCCTGAGATAACTCATCTCTGCCAGTTCTGCACACATGTATGTAATTTTACTTGGCTCTCTATTTTAATGAAAAAGGGAAACATTTTTTTCCTGAAGTTTCCTGCATGATATCACATAACAAAAATCAAAAAGGGTCCTCACCACAGATAAAAACCAAAAAAAGGAGCAGGTTTTCTCTCTTTGTCACAAAGTTTTCAAACCACAACATTCAATCAGACAGTCTGTAGTCACCTGCCAGTCTGTAATGCCCATCAGAAACTTCTCTTATCTGATGACTCTCTGAGTGTCAATGCAAATGATGGAAAAGCAAATCCTATTGACCAAGCCAGCCAAGTGATACTCACTTTTTGGAAGATAAGGGGTACTTTTATTCCAGGAACCTTCTTTTGATCATTCTCCAACAATACAGTGAGAGGGACACCGAAAAGACCATTCTCTTAAAAAAAATAACAACAAATGTGAAAATGAGGAAACACAGGCCACATCTTCATTCAAAGCTGATGGGCATGATGGGCATGACTGCAAAGGGGATGCCACACACGGTACCTCGTCCCCGCACCCTCTCCAAGCGGTTCCTCTTCAGTTCCACGCCCAGCGCGTCGTAGAAGGCCGTGAGCTCGATCAGGGAGAGGTAGCGGATCTTCTTCATGTCTTCAGGAGAGAGGTCCCCAACCTCTGTCAGTCCAAAACGGCTTTTCCGAACAATGAATTTCTACAGTAGAGATGGGTCGCATCTTTATTTGCACAGAAGTTACAGGAGGTGAACTTTTGTTTTAAAAGAGACGTGCGTATGTGATTGGAGGTCATGTTCAGGTCGATGGATAGCAATAAAGAGATGAACCAAAGCCCTGTAGATTGGCCTGGTATGGTGACACAGCTTCCATCCACCTGAACATAAAACTGAGCTTCCTCCTCACCATGGACCCTTGCAGTTTGACTGGGAAGTGGTGCTGGAGCACCTCAGTGCCTCTACTTCATCTGGGACAAATGAGTTATGTGCCTCTTTAAAACTTCTGCCCAGTTTCAACAGGATGTAGCATTTTGCTCTGCTTCTGCCTTCCCCAGAACATCCTTGAATGCTGTTGAAGTGGCTGACACAGTTAATCATGGATATGGTTCTATACCAATTGTATGTGTGTGATGAATCCATGCCTGCTTTGCACAATGCTATTAATTTATGAGGTCTTACAGGGGAGTTCAAAGTAAAGATCTGAGGGAAAGCCCAGAAGCAAAATTGCTTAGTCCAGAAGCCAGTCTGCCAACTTAGTGGTATTTTTTATTACTCAGGAAAGCATAGAAACAAGACTCCCAGGAGCTAACAAATAATTTGCTCAAGCAGACTTGAACTAAATGATACTGAGTAATTTGGGGGCATGTGAAGATGTCTACATATTTTAGAAACTGCAGTGTCATGGACCAGAGCCAGGAATGTTGTGTCATGACAGATGCCTTTGCACAAATGTCAAAAAAGAACAAACATCCATCAGTTTCTGACATAATTGTTAGACATAATAACAAAGTCATAGTAAAAAACCTGCTTTTCAAAGGACTGTGGATCTTTGGTATTGTGTGTTTTTAAAATTTATTGTAATTTAAACCAGGAATTGTTAGTCAGAGGCATAAATAAATAGCATTACAAACCATCTCCTTCCTTTATGGAACTGAGTGGAAACCCAGCCTCTACTAATGTTTGGCTTCTGGAGATTTCAGCTCAGTCCTTCAATTTCTTTAACAAATCTGGACTCAAGATATTTAACCCATCTTTAAGCAAGTCAAACTGATTAAGAAAAAGGCAAACAAAAAAACCCTAACCCTAAACCAAATCAAAACAAAAATTAAACTTACTCTAGATTTCAAAATGAAGAGAGTACAAAGGACACCTAGATCATGTAGTATAGGACTTCATAAACTTCATTGCATATGGTCTTTCAAGAGGGGTTAACAATAATTGGGGGAGAAAGAGTGTAGGGAATGGAATAATTTATTTACATGCTGCCTGGGGCATTTTTAGCACAGAATATTCCCTCCTTGGAATGAAGCAATTCCACTGTTATCCTTATACTTAATATAACCAAAGCTGCATGGGGTATAGCCTTCTGAAGGCACATAAAATACTAAAGAGTACCTACACATTTTGATTCCAGTGATGCAAAAGGTGCAAAATTAGTCAAAATGCACTAAATCACCTTGAAAAAAAGGAAAAAACCCAGACTGTATACATATATTTTCTGGGGGGAAGGAGAAAAATTTCTAAGCACTGCAAAACTGATTAAACAAAGATTTTCCACAGTGACTGTTTGACTCCTAGGGTCACTATCATGTGATGCTGTGGTTAATACAAAATTTGGTGCTGGCTGTCTTTCTCGTGTCACAATTTTCCAGTGGTTTTTCTTACAGTGATGTCATACGCAGTTTTGAAGGAGGCTGTGCTATCCTGAAAATTAGATTACTAACATTTTGGCTAAGGATTGTGCCTGATATTTTGTGATGTTGTTTCTATATGGAAACTGTGCAGTGTACTCAGGCTTGTAGTTCTGTAATATCTTCAAGTAAGTCACACGGATCATGGTCCCACATTGGAGAAATCACATGTACTTTGGGGAAATCCCTATGCTCCTGGGGATGGTGAGTTGAGTCTTGTAGGAGTCAGGGGACTCCCTGCTGCAGGGGATATGCTGTTTTATGATATATAATGTCTCTCTGCGCACCTCTGTACACAGCATCAGTGAAGTTGGCTATGTTGTCAGACCCACCCCGGAGAAAGTGTGATGCTGCACATCATCCAATGCAGCCTCATTGTCCCACCATGGGGAAGGAGGGACAGTCCTTAATGTAGGGGACTTGTTGCTCAGTATAACAGAGCAAGAGGTGATTTTTCTCCTGAGGCCCATTATGGTCTGAGTCATCACAGGAAAAAACCAAGTATCACGAGTAGCAGCAGATGAAGTAAGGGAAAGGACAACATCAACAGACTGTTGACTTTATTCAGAGACGCTCTGCAACAACCTGGAATATTTCTTGTGTGGTCTTCTAAGCTCACAAAATTATGTCCTGCATGCAGAGCAGCTCAACTCCAGCACAATAGTGGCATTTTCTATAGCTTATCAATTATGTATCCACAGATCCATCATATTCAATATGGCATCTTCTCTTCCCTCTTTGCCATCAGTTTCCCTGCTCTGTCACCTGAGAATTGTCTGTGCTGTTGCACAGAAAAATTTGTGAGCGTGCATGTGTTGTACTAAAGGCCAAAATCACGATGAGTGCAGAGATACCCTTACTCTACACAGGACAAAAAGTTATCCCCACAAAAAAAACCCAAAATAAACAAACAAACAAAAACAAAAACAAAAAAAACCCCCAACAAAACAAAAAAACACCCAAAAAAACCAAAGGCACAAATAGAAGCACAAGGATTTCACATAAGTTATGTAATCTACTTAGTATCCTATCATTCAACATAGAAGCTTATTTCTGCATTTCAGCTTCTTCTTCCTTGGTGGAATCTGAGATGGACAACTGACTAATTCTCAGATAATTCAACGTCTGTGTGGATTGTAACAATTTCAGATTAGTCTGGGACCTCAGGACATCCTAACATTCAGGAATTTTTTCCAAATACTTTAGAGCTATTTCATACATGTCACTAAAGAGGCAGTTGGAAACACTAAATTAATGCTCCAGTTTTCAGTGATGGAAGTTGTGAGGGCTGATGTAAGTAGAAAACTGACTTCCATGACTTCATTCCAGATAATGACACAACTGCTCAGTGCATGTCTGGTTGGATGATAAGGCAAACTCTTCTTGAACAATTCATGTACTATTGCCTATAGTGTGATTGCACTCAATACTGACTAGAAACAGCCAGTACTGCTGCAGGACTAAGGTTTGCTTTCCTTTCCTCCCTTCATCTGCAAAGCAATTTTCAATCCATATGTTAACAAAGGCAGATAATCTGTGAGGGAAAAAAGTAGGAAAGCAGACAAGTAATGAAAATGATTGTTAGCTTTAATGCCAATAAGCAGTTTTTATTTCTGAGTGAAAAAATTGGGGATGATGCAGTATTTGTGGACTGAGTTACACACACTCAGCTGGGTGCATGTATTCATGATGGGTACAAGTGAAAACCTGGCTTGGATATCCACATTAACTTTGGGAATGAATCACAAGCAGTAGGCAGACATACTGAGAAGCCTCTACAAAGCACACACTGCAAAGGCCAGATCATGTACCTCACCAGACTCCAGCATGCTAGGGATATAAAGCAGGAAATTGCTGTGTTAAAGAAAACAATAGAAGAAATAAATGGAGAAGAAACTTACTGGCAAAGCTGAGTCTTCCTTTTTGAACCTCTGGTTTTTGGGCCACTCTTGGGTTTTTGGAAGGACTGTAATGGATTCTGAGAAAGAGATATCATAGGAGAGCTCTTCTGTTATGGATGGGCTGCCTTTATCTATGCCACAGTCTAGACAGCTCTTAGCTGAAAATAAGGGAAATTATATATGAATGATGAATTGCACTTAAGTCAAAGACACTAAAAAATTGAACCAAGATGACAAAATTCTTGAGAAAGCAATAAAGGAAGTGCTTCAAAGAGGAATTTCAGTGCAAACCACAGCATGTTCCTGTTTTGTCTCAAGGAAATAACCCCTTAGAAATAAAATCCCTCTTTTTGTTTTAGATTATTTAACTTGTTGCTTTCTGTGAGAAAAATAGTCAAGCTGGAACTTCCTGTTTATCAGGAATTACCAAGTTTTTTACTCCATCCTTGTCTTCCCAGGCCAGCAAACTGTGGTGGCACTTGTCAAATGAACAATTAAAAATAAAAGGTCTTGACAGAAAAATGCTGTTGGCACAGTTTGTCAGGTTACTCATGACTTATTTACAATCACAAGACATTGTGCATATATTTTATGTGGTCACATTCACATATTTCTCATTGCTGATAGTTTAGGTGGATAACACCGTATCAGGACAAAATGTACAATATTTCAGTTTGAAAAACACTCTATCTACTGACATTTCTAGTAGATATTGTGAAATGACTTATTGCTCTTCTCTAAAATGTATTCACCTCCTTAAATTACTGGATGTCAGGGGAAAATTTTTGAAATCAGTACAGTTAAATCCAGAAATACGCTATTGTCATGGAGGCCAAAGTGTGATAACGTAAATGAGTTCCAGGGTTGCAAACTTTCCTGGTGGATCTATAGTATCTCAGGTCAAGTTTTAGTTTTCCTGTAAGGTTGAGCTCCTACACTCAGCTGGGATGGAATCATAAATTTAATTGAAAGTGAAACAAAATTTCAGCTCCCAGGACTGCAGAGGAGAATCGACTAACATGACACAAGTGTATTCAAAAGCCATGGCAATCAGAAAGTGAATTAAAAAACATTACATGACTTATAAACTTGTGCATGACCCATGTTCTCTGTATCATTGCATTTACAGTTGCAGGGAGTTTTTTGCAACACCACTTATTTTACAAGTCTGTTATGAAAAAAATTGTGTTATTAAGTGGCTTCTGGTTTCTGAACTGTGGCTTTAGTTGTTGTCTAATGTCACAGCCACTTAAGATATTTTCCATCTCTCTTTCCACCTTTGGACCTGAGACCACAGACTGCTCATGGTACCCCTGGGCATTTGGTTCCCCATCTGTTTCAGTAAAACTGCTTGCAGAGCAGAAGTATCAGCAGAGAAGTTTTGCCACCAAGGAAAATGTCTGGGGCACTGAAACAAACATCCAAGGGACTAGTTTAGAAATTTGGGTATATATCCCTTTAGTTAAGCTCTGAACAATGTTGATGGGAAGAGCTTTCAAACTAAGAGATGGACATTGTTGTGGAAGGTTGCCAACAATTATCCAGACACTGAGTAGAGAAGAGCTATTACTCTTATTAGCACTGCCAATCACTGTCAGGGAAAAGCATTTAAGGGATAACACCATTCATAGATCAGAATAACAGGGCAGAACTAGGAAAATTATAAATTTCTAATGCTACAATTTATGCAGTACTGGAGAAAGAATGTGGAGGAAATACGCCTCTTTGATTTGCAACAAGAAAATACACCAATGGCATATTTTGGACAAATTCTGCATGATAATGCCTACAGATTATTTTTACATTCCCAGCCTTGCAATGATCAGCATTTTTTAGATGCTGATGCCTCAAGGGCAGCAGTTTGTGTCTGTACAATGTTGGTCTTTAATGGGAAACTTTGGTTCCTGCATGACAATAAGCTGACAATGATTTTAGAGAAATATATGCAGCACTACCCCAACATGAAAGAGGGGACTGACCTCTGAACCACAAAAGGGTCTTTCTGTCTGTCATTTTACTAAGAGGAAGTGAACACTGGTTACATGTTGTCATACTCACAGCTAACTGATTTCCAAACTGGCTTCTGCCCAGGAAGCTGGATACCATTAGAAGATACTGGTGACACTGGAACTGTCTCAAATGTGGGCTGATAGGCAAGGAAAAATGATCAGACTGCAGTGAAGGCAAACGTCTATGGACAGAAACTGCTACAGTTCAAGCAATGGTGTATCATTCTCAGCTTACACTCTCATGACAAGATTAAACAACCTGTTGTGATTCTTCAGAGCACTGTTTTCATAGCCAAGCTTGAGAATCAATCTTCCCCAGACTGCACAGATTTAGACCATGTGGAGGTCAGTAACATTGCAGCTTGCTGTACCTAATGAGTCCTGTCCTATAAAATGACTAAAATTAGCTAAGTAAATTGCTGTACAGAAATAGACTAACCAAAAGATCCTCCTCAAATTGTAATTCATCCTGGCTTTAATCATTTTGGCCACAAATCTTTCTGAAGACTCTCTGGCACATGTTGAGTACCTGCTATTCCCAGTGACCTGTCAGAAATCAGTCTGTCTGCTACCTCTTGTGATTTGGGCACCAGAGTTATTTAAGGATGGACGTCCTCCCAAAGGTTATACACTAATACTTTTATCAGTGAACTGCAAAAAAAATTTGAGGGAACAAAGAAGCATTTTCCATAGTCAAATTAATTTATTTCCACTCCAGAAGTCATTCTGCACTGCACAGAAGTGGCTTGGCAGCCCAGGGGGTGACTTTCAAGCAGTGTCACCTCTTAGCAGTGGAGTTTTGGCCTTGTCCTCAGCAGTTTTGTGACTCATAAAGACAAATCTGAGTGTGTTCCATGGGCACTAGCAGCTCACTATTTGTTCTTGAGTAAAAAAAAATCCAAAACCAAGGTCAGGAATTAAAAAAGTGCTCTGAAGGTTACTCAGCGAAAATACCTGCAACATTCCAAATCTGTTTTATATTTTTTTCTGCTGTTAGCTGCATGCTTGTGAGAATTCCTGAAGCCCCCAGCTTTTTTCAAACTTGCTGTCTCACACACCCTGAGCCTGATGGAACAGACCCAGTTTTCCAACTGAACCTGCAGCTGTAGGGCCCCATGAGCTCTTAATACCAGCTCTTTTAATTGCTCTTTAAATTGCTAAGTCATCTGTTTATCAACAAGTAGCAATGCCTCAGGGCAGAAATTCTGTTTCCCCCAGTTGTAGTAAATGTGTGGGAGAAGCATTCAGCATGTTAAAAATTTCAGATATTTAAAAGACAGGCAGCTCTTCTAATTGGAAGCCTGAAATAAAGTTTTAGTTGTTTTACTCAATCTTATCCTCTGAGCTATTCGGGAAAAAAGTCAAATGTAACATGACTAAAATCTCTCCTGAGAGAGTCCATTCAACGGCTTGTGAATTTGATAGCAAACAGGAATTGAGTCACATGGACTTCCTCTGCCAAAAGACTGTAAGGACCATAGATTTCTTTAAAAAAGAAAACTGGATACTTTTATGATAAAATCCCACAACATTTACACAGAAAGCTTCAGGATATAAAAAAACACTATAAATTTCAGGTGGAATTATAGAAGTGGAGAGGATGGCTAAACTCGCCTAAGTAATTTGGAAAAATCAACCATAAAAGTAGTTATGCTTCTGCTTAAGATCCAGATGGAGAAATTAATGACAGATATTAGCAACTGGCTCATCTACTTTCAGTGCTCAAAATGTCTGACCCTGTGAACAATATTCAGAATAGATTTACAGTCAGTCAAGTTTATTAGGAAAAAAAAACAACAACACTTCCAGCCTTGTTACATGGGTGAAATGAGTCGTGAAGCACCTGCAGTAACCTGGTTCTGATAAGCAGGGCAAAGCTGGCAGATACAGGTACGGAAGATGGAGTGGACTGCGCACCTCGGCCTGGCACCCAGCAGGGCTGGCAGCAAGCTGCCCTAGCCTGGGGAATTGAATAATGTGAACCATGCACAATAACTGGGGTACCTGGAAATGTCATATTCTCAGTCCCATTTCCCAGCCTTCACAGTGAGAGTGTATAACGAAACCAAATCTATGTCTCTTTTGTGAAAATGTCTTCCTTCCCTCCCCCAATTTTTACTTATTTTAATGTTAGGAAGACCTGGAATAAAACCTTGTTAATGCATGAATTTAAAGATCCAGATTATTTCTGTAGAGTAAAAGAAAATTAAAGAAGTTTTGAAGACTTCTCTCAATGAATGTGAAAGACCAAGAATCAAATGGTGTCCTTAAATAAACTGGGACAGCTTTATTCATTTGCCTGGGGCTCCAGCAAAGGTGAGACTTCCCATATCCTGATTTCTGACTGAAAATGATTCATTAGACACACTAAAAATGAGCCCACTGCTTACTGCCACAAATACGCAGGAATTTCCAATGGGAAGACAAAATCAGAAGAGCAAGGAGAGGATGGAAATGAGGTAGATAGACAGTTCTTTAGTAGCTACCCTCATTGTAGAAGATGTAAAACCAAATCATTGGAGCACCAAAGAGACCAAATTTTACTTTCAGCCCTGCAGCTAAAGGAAATAAAGGCAAATGAGGATAACCCTACAGCTCTGGCCAGGATACAATTGCCCATGCTTTGAATATATTCATATTTCCAAGCACTGCCATCACCAATACCTTTTCATGCAAATAGCTCTGGGTTAGTAAGTGATTTTTCTTTAACTAGGACACAATTTTGTCATGCACTGCTGAAGTAAAATGCTTGTAAAAACTCTTCAGGAGTTTTAGTTAATTGCAATGCACAGGGTTGGGCTGTTAATGAACACAGAGCTTCATTTCCACTCTCCAATAACAGAATCAATGTATGTGTGTCTCCCATTTGTATTCTGCTGTTGATTTTTCTAAACTCTGAGCACTAGCAGAGCCAAGAGCTTCTGATGGAAGCAGCAGGGTAGGTATGAGCAGCAAGGAAAATCAGGCCACTGTGATTAATAAACCATCCAATTTAAAACTCAGTAGTGTGGCTGTCAGTCAAGTCTGCTGGCTGTAGACCTGTCTGAAGCAGAGCAAAAGCACTTCAGCTGGGACAGGCTGCTCTACTTGCCAAGGCATGGCTCTTTGTAAGATTGCAGCACCTTTCCAGGACAGGCAACAGTAAAAAATCACAAAATCCAAAGCTACAAAACAAGAAGAGTAATAGCTGAATTTCCTTTTATTTCAGTTAATTTTGTCTGTTGAGGGGACAGTCCTGCCATGAGGGCATGGACCTCAAGGCAGGATGGCTGGAAAAGCACCCTTTGTTCTGTGTTGACCCATGCAGAGCCTGGCCACAAGGCAGTAGTAGCAAAACATCTATCAGGCAGGGTTTTTTCAGAACACAGAGGAAAAAACAAGGGCAAATCTATCCTTTTCTTCCCCCAGTCCAGATGACAAGTAATTTATGCCTCTTTAGGTCCCCTAAATCTCATCTCAGGTGACCCTAGTGAGCTAATCATCTTTTCTCTCATCATTAGCCAAGGAAGAGAGTAATCCATCCTGTGACCCATCCCTCTAGGCTCTTGTGAGTCTTAGGTTGTTGGGAAGAGGGTGTAAATCCATTCTCCTAATGGAGAGGATTATAGAGTTATGTGAAACAATTAGAGCTGGTTTGCTATTTGCAGCATGTTTTGTTTACTTCTATCCCTTCCCAACTAAAAGGCAGGATGGGTAAGCAAACCTGCATGTAATTTCAAGCAGTCACCTCACAGCCTCTCTTGCCCAACTGTGCTGAAAAGATTTGTCCGTCCTCATCTCCTGCCACTCTTTTCTTTTGGCTGTGTTGTTTTATTGTGCTTCTCTTCCCTAAACTGATTAATCACAAAGATTCACAGGTAGCTGTTAGGGCCATGTCCAAAGAGGCAGAAAAGCTCCCAGGGACTGCTGATACCCCCTTAAAAAGACCACTTGGGAAATCCGTAAGTCAGGGACACAAGCCCTCCTGAAGTGTGTTTATCCCTGAAGGGCTCATAATTAGGACAAAGTTTCTAAATCCTGTAACAAGCAGCAGAGATAGGAGCAGCTGTGAAAAGGAAAATGAGAGTGTTGAGGACTTGGAGGCTTTTAGAAATACAATGTTTCACAGTCTGTTGGAGGGAGGTGATGGTGTGCTCTGCAGTTGGGTTTGGGCATCTGGGTTTAACATCTAGGACAGCACCTGCAGAACTGCATATTTTTGTGGGAAGAAGAGCTAGAAGACTTAATTACTTATTTGATCTTATCTTTTAGACTTTCACAATACAGAACTAGTAAGTGAACTGAATTTTGGAGGAGATAAGACACTGATTTGAAGGGCAATTGCTCTAAAGATCCAAATTCCTTTTACAAATGAGAAACATTATCAGGTGAGAAGGGGAAAATAAGCAGGTCAAAAATAAATCAATAATGTGCCCATCTGAGAGGAAAAGTACAATGCTCATTTGGCTGATTGAAATTTATTAGGAAACTTAAGCTTTTGTAAAAAAAAAATTAAACACCTTATGGTTTACAAATCCTTGAATCAGGAGAAGTAAGCTAATATAATTAGAAGGTCCACCAGCTTTTTATCTTTTCATCTCTCAGGAAAGTAAGTCAGAGGAAACTACTGGATGCTTCTGGATATATTTGTGGGATATGTACAAGAGGTACAAAATAATCAGGTGTTTAATTTGGAAACAAATAGGTTAACTATCTGGACATTATATCTTTGCTATTTTAATATAACTATGCAGCTACAATTTTGTTCCCAATTTTTTTTTTAATAATCCAGGATGTCAAGCCCTGAGGAGATGGTAGAACAAACAGAAAAGGACAAAGCAATGCCATAATGAAAAATAGTTTATTGGAGTCCTATAATGGCAACAATTTTAATATTAATTTTAAAGGGGAGCTTGTGATCTTACTGGTGACTCCCATTTAAGATATCATGAGTGATAAATGCAAAATCACATGTGTTGCTTTGAGCAATGGACTAAATTCACGCAGTTGACTGCGTTCACCAGAATCAAAACATGCACTGACAGGAACTAGTACTTTCAGAGCTATCCTCAGGGAAAAATGGATGAGACCTCCTGAGGTACTGCTGATTTCTGAAGCCATGAATCAAATGAACAGTTAATAGGTATTCATTTGCTATATAAGTGAAATGTAACTGTACAAGTTACAATCATGCTGGCAGGTGTTTAATTGCTTATGCATATTCGAACCCCAGTTGCTTCATTAAACAAGTTTTACTTCACCACTGAGACTGCCGAGTAAATAGCAAGTGTCCCCAGAAGCCATCAAAATTTTAAATAGCTGCCAAGAGTAACTCACCAATTTCCAAAAAATAAAGGAATAAATATTAGTCTTGACATGAGGTTGCAGAAGGAAGGCTGGCAACAGATACAACTTTGTTACAGGTTAGTTACAAAACTGTGTACCATTGCATCTGGTTCCTTCCTTTCCTCTCAAATGTACTGTATACAGTAAAAGACTGGTCTTAGGGTCAGAAACTGCTACAGGCTGTCTGTACATAGTCACCAGGAAAGGGTTCCTGTCTGGCAGAAACTTTGATGAGCTACTTGCAAATTGCATAAAAATTAAGATCAAAGGCATGCACGAGGATACTTACAGAAGAGTCACCAGTGCCAAAGATGTCTCGCACATCCCGGACTGTGTGCTTGTTCTTCTTTCTCAGGGTCTGAGTGTAGGTGTTGTACCTCTTCTGTACAGCAGCAGCTTGAGTTCTGGTCAGAGTGGACAGCAGGGCTTGGCCATCCTCCTCCTCAGCTCCTGAGATCAACGTGGATAAACCTACGTCTTGCAGCCATTCTGCCTCCAGCTCCCCTTCTGTGGAGGAAGAGAGAATGTTAAGAAGCCTGATAAGGAAGGGAGAGGGGACTGAAGGAAAAGAGTTGGCATGATGGAGTGCTACCACAGCCTTTACCTTGAGGATACTCTAATTTCAACCCTTCTTAGGCCACACGTGCAAGTTAAGTTAGTTTTGTAAATATATTGTCAATTTTCAGTTTGTTCAGAGTCTGCACAAGAGAGGCTTATGAGGAGAACAGAAGAGGCATTTCATCAGCATATGTGTGTGAAGAAGGCAGCAGAGTAACCAGCCAGACAAAGCAAGGTCCCTAAAATTAACTCCTAATTCCAAAGCATAAATCCCCTCAATTACCATTTATACCACATTCACCATTTGTGGCATGGTGTACTGGAGAAAGCCATTTAGCTGATGGAAATAAAATCAGTACTCCAATTCAAATAAATTCAGTTCAGAAATTCTGGAGGTGTGTATGCAATAGAATAATGTATTTGCAAACTAATGATGCAATTTCAGATTCCAGAGGGTAGGCTGGTAGTCAGCTAGTGAAGAAGACACACTGAGAGAAGGGTGATGTCCACCAAGTCCAATTGCTTGTTTTGAACAAGATGATTAAGAACCAGAGCTGCTCACTAAAGAACAAGGGTCAGGAAGAAGGGGTAGGTGTCTAAGAGGTCATGCAGAAGATGCATGGAAGATGCAGAAATAGCCATCTTTGAATGCTAGTTATTACCCTAACTTCTAATTATTAAAGACTCATTAGCACTGTACACACCAGTGTTTCTTGGTATCTCAATCAGTGACTGATACCTTCTTTGATCTGTTCAATACCTGCTTCCCAACTGGTTCAATAATGCAATTGTTTCCATAGTGAGGTTATGCATTGTGGTAAGAATTTTCTATCCTGGCTCTACTGGACATGGCAGATGCACCTGGCATCTTTTCATACCTGCAGTCCCCTCACTACCAAAACCTGTCCATGTGAAGACAATATAGGTTTCCAGCTTACTTCCTGTTACCTGAAATGAATATGCCCTGTCATTATCTGACTGTGAGAAGGTCCCAATCTACCTTCTTTGAATCATTCAGTAATTTTAAATTTTTCTGTCATTGCTTTTTGATTTGTCTTCTTCTTAAAATAAACAGTCCTAGTCTTTTAAAATCTCTCTTCACGTAGGAAGATTTTAAGGTCCTTCATTTCAATTTTGTGAGCCAACCTAGCTCAGCAGTAAGCTGCTTGACACAAGACAGTAATTTCATTCCAGCTCTGACTGAAGAAGAGGTACTACAAATAAACATGTCAAACAGGAAATGGATTAATTTGCAGCATGTTCCATAAAACAACTCGTCAATGCACTTATTGTTCTTGCCAGTCTTAATGGCAGGTTGGTATTTCCACTCTCCCTTTATTGCCTCTTCTTGACATCAGAATGCAGGCTGATTGATGGACACCAGTCTGCTGCACTTTGGCAGTTAGATACACAAAAGAGAAAATTATAGGACTGGGCTGTAGGGACAAGCAAAAGCATCTTATGCATGTGCTATCACTGACTTCATTGTTAACTGCCCTGCCTCACTACAAAACACTACAAAAATAGCTGCTTCTAAACCCCTGCTCTGTGTTAGACAGTGATGTGACCAGCCCTGTATCCCATGAAATAGCTTGTCTCTGCTCTTATCCTTTCCATATCCAGACAGGATGACAGACTGTTCCTTTTCCTTCTCTGTATGCTTTGAACCAGCAGTACTCCTGCCATTTTCACTATTCTTTCTAAGAAGGTCTCTTCTGTTTCTCATGTGCTGCTGTTGGAGCCACATGTGTCTGTGTTTCAGCTTTTAAATTATATTAATTTTGGCTTTTGTCCTGACATGTTCTTCCCAAGAACAGAGCTTGTAATCAAACTTGTTATGAAAAATAGCAGGGCAGACATGAAATTCTGCTTGCTTACTAGTCATCCTGTGACTTGTTTTCTCTGGCTTTTGCCTTTTCCTGTTTTCCCCTTTCCACGCAAACCACAGACTAAGACATAACAGCAATCAGAGGAGTAAAACTATTAAAGAGAAGAAATTTACACATTAAAAAATGGTCAAAATTTTATGACACATTAGTATTAAATTAAGATTAACCCCCCCACCCATGTTGTTTTAGAAAGCATTATTTTTATAGTGATATAGCTAAGTAGCTATAGTAGTTAATACAGCAGGGTCTTGATACTGTGTTTGATTCTGCTCCACCAGAAGATAGATGATTGAGAGAGTAATTCTCTTTTTCTCACAAAGCTTGCTAGGAAAGAGGCATGTCTTGCTTTGAATCACAGATAAAACCTTAAATAACTCACAGCATTCAAGCCCTGTAACAAAAGCTGTAAAGCAACATGCACAGCATGGACATCTTAAATACACCATGACTTCTCCTCCCCTACATTTTCATCCCTTGTGTCACTTGTCATGATCTTCTGTTCTTTTTTTGACTTTATTTGCTAACATCAACAGAATAAGTGTGCTGTTGTCTGCCCTTTGCACATGATGTCTGGCAAATCACAATGAGGTTTTGACAGTCATGCCTGCCTGGCTTCTATCACCCTTTGGCCTTCTTCTTAAGGATATTCATCTCCTCCTCTCAAATACGTCTCAAAAGGGTGATGAATATTTGCTTTTATTTTGTCCTGAGGGTTTCCACATTGATTTTTAGTGTTTTGATTGTTGGTAAGGAGCATTATCCTATTAGGACCTTAATAGAACTCACTATTATTTCCAAGATTTATAATCTTAGACTGAATATATTCCTGATGTTAATAACTAGGACAAACACTGCCTGATTGTGTGTGGGTGTGTGAAATACATACATATGTGTTTAAGGCAACAGTATTATGGTAAATGAAGTGTGGAGATGTATTGCATTTTGACTTGCATTCTCATTTTTAATTCAGGGCAGAGGAGAAAAAATCAATGTGATGTAATGAGGTGTACTCAGACAAAGGGTAACATGGGACTGCAGCAGAATTCAGGCTATTGAGAAGATTTAGTTCAGCAGTGATGAAACCGATGGAAAAGTCTCTGGAAAATAAGCTCCTGTATTGCCTTGTCCTACTAAGTTACCCAGCTTGGCAGCTCACAGATTTGTGTCATTCCCCTAACTGTGCAGACAAGTCAGGGACACCTGTGAGCTCGTGCTGACAAGAGAGCCCAGCTGGAAAGTAGTGAATGGGAGGTGTTTCCCATGGAAACAGTACATGGCTGGAGCTAGATACTTCTGCGTGGGTTACTCACCATGACTGGTCACGAATTTCATTGCTTAATAAAGTAGTACTTTCCACCATTCTTCCTGGTAGCAGAATTAATGACATCCCATTGCACGTCAAAGTAGGAAAAACACATCATCACTCGTGTTAATAATTGTATGGAAAGAACACACCATTGTTTCAGAATCTATCCCTACATCAGTAGTTGCTGACCAGTGGCCAGGAGCCACAGAAGGGTTGCAGCAGTTATCAGCAGGTCACAACCTCAGAAGATATTTGGTTTCATTGTATAGTAACAGCTGGTATTTTGTGTTACACAATATAATACATTTGTGACTGGGGTCCTAACTGGAAAAAAAAAAAAAAAAGAACCACTGTTCTAGGAGTTATCAAATTATCTAACACAAAGCTGCACTGCAACAAGCTAGCACATATTGCATGTTTTTCCAAATACAAGTACTTAACAAGAGAGGGGAAAACATTAAGGTAACAGAATGAAGCAGTAATACCTTCAGGACACAT